CGGCGGCGTGTACGGGGGAGGTGAGTCCGGCGCCGCCCTCCCCTCCCCCGCCCCGCGAGGCGGCGCGTGCAGCCCCGGCGGGCGCTTCCCGCCTCCCTCAGCCCGGCCCGGCGCTGCCGCGGCCCCTCCGTGCCCCACGCGTGAGGAGGAGGAGGCGGCGGGCCTTGTTTATGTCCTTGGCGGCCCCGAGGTGCCTCCGGCGGGCACCGCTGGCACCGCGGCCTTGGGCAGGATCCGCAGTACCAAGGTCCGGAGAAGGTCCCCGCACTTTGGGAGCCGGGTGTGGTTCCTCCGAGCCCCTGTGCACACCCCCTGTGACAGCCGATCGTTCCCGGCGGGTTTCCTTTAGGATGTGCATAGATCGGCAGGGATCGGGCCCGTAGGGGTGGGCGCTTGGCGCTCTGACCCCTTCCCTCACACGGTTGATGTTTTCAGTCCCACCTTCCTCATCCTCATCACCGGCGGGGGCTCTGGGCTCGCCTGGCTTCGTGTGAAGTTAAATTAGAACTTTTTGAAAGCTTTATCTCTCGATCCGTTTAGCTGCTACTACGTTTTCCCTCTTCTACTAAAATTCTCTTCCTGACACCAAACGGAGGGGTTGCAATGCCCCAGTTAAAGCCTGTCTGCAGTTTTCTGCTCTCTGGTAGCCGGAGTTCTGGATAGAGAAGTTTGTCCTCGCTTTGGAAAAGATCCCTTGATTTGTTTGTCTTGCTTTCCCAGTAAAGCAGGCAGTGGGCAGGGAAAGGCCAGGGCTGCAGAAGAGCGTAATAACCGTTCTTTGTTAACAATCTTTTCAGATGAAGTTGGGGCTCTGGTTTTTGACATTGGCTCGTACACAGTGAGAGCAGGCTATGCAGGCGAGGACTGCCCAAAGGTGAGAGAATCTGCCTCGATGGAAATTCGACATGAATTTATGCCTTAAAAAGTCTTTGCAAGTTGCAACCCTTCTGAATACATTGGGGTCTGTTCTGACTGTATTGTGTAAAGAAATTTCTGAATTTATGAGAAAAACACCAACTTGCAGAACGTTACTAATCCTTATGTACTGCCTGCCTCTTGCCTTGCAGGTGGATTTTCCAACAGCCATTGGTGTGGTGCTAGAAAGGGACAATGGCAGCACTCTGATGGAGATAGATGGTGACAAAGGCAAACAAGGGGGCCCAACTTACTACATAGACACTAATGCCCTGAGAGTTCCAAGGGAGAATATGGAAGCCATTTCGCCTTTAAAAAATGGAATGAGTATGGTGCTCTTGTCTTTTTCTACCTGATTTTCCAATAGCATTGCCAGGCTGCAGGAAGTCATGGTCGTGTTGACAGATGTTATGTACAGCAACAGAGGCTGTAAGAACAGATGCCTAGTTTACAAATTGCATGGAAATGTGGTTAGTTTTCATTGTTAGTGGGCTTTCAGCGTAATTGTTGAAGTCATGGTGGTTGTGGAAGAAGAGAATTCTGCAGATCTGTTAGAGGATGTGTGTATCTGCTGAGGACACCTTTTACTGAAGAGCTCTATGCAATAAACTAAATTGGAAAGCCTTTATGTGTTTATGAAATGAAACAAAACTTAGAAGTTACTAACATGTTTGTCTCAATGTTGTTACAGTTGAAGACTGGGATAGTTTCCAGGCAATTTTGGATCACACTTACAAGATGCATATTAAATCTGAAGCAAGTTTGCATCCTGTCCTTATGTCTGAAGCACCAGTGAGTAAAAGCAGCTGTGCATTTTGACAAGTCTTTCTGATAACTCTGTGAACATTAGTCCTGGATAAGTCTGACAATGGCTTGTAGGTGACAAGTGCTAAAACTTAGCTACAGAAATGACAATTTAAAAATGCTTGGACAGCTTGTGGAAAATGTCTAAAAAAACCCTCAATTTGAAAGAGTTCATATGAGTTGTATTAGAAAGTATTTACAATATGCTATTGTTTTTCACTTACTGAAAAGAAGCCAAAAGTTAAAAAAAGAAATTTTACTGCCTAGAATAAAAAGAAAAAATATGTTTGGATGTCTTATATTTTAAGTTACACGTAATAAAATGCCATGAAAAATCTTCCTTCATTCAACTTTACAAGTAATATTAAATGACACAGAATAATATTTATAATGGTGAAGTTGTAATTTTTCTGTCTTTGTTTCTGTAAGTGGTCCTGTAAGGCAGCTGTAGTGGATAAATACAAATTTCTGGGAAAATCTGGACAAGGTTTCTGTCATTTTAAAATGCTCAGCATTTGAAGGCAGATCTTGAAGTCAGAGTAGAAAAGGTAGACATGCCACACACAAGTGATGCCTTTCTTTAATAAAACCTTATGAAAAGGGTTTTCTTGAATTTCATTGTTCCCTTGTGTTGAATCACAGCTTGTGGAGTGTGGATGAATTTGCAGTGGCTGTTTGATGGCTCAGTGGGTGTCTGAATAGAGACATTTCCATTGAAATTCTCCTTAAAAACCTCATCTTACTTTCTTCTGTTGGCTTGGAAAAAACTTTACATTTTCAGTTATGTGCTGAATATTTAAGATATCTTGGCTTAATCACAACTGCAGTAGAACCGTAGAAAGGTACTTTGGGAACTGGAAAGTCTGGATTTATTTTTCTTCCCACTGGGCATGTTCCTTCTTGTATCTTCCCCCTTGTAAAAGGCAGGGTGCTTGCTTTAGAGAGTTCTTTGGGAACCTGACAGTGGAAGAGCTGTAGAAGTGTAAAGAAATGTATTGTGACATGAAAGGTGTGTAGCACTTTTGTGTGACAGATAAACATTGATGTGTTGTAGTATAAGTGGAATGAAAAATGTTTTAAAGACATAAATCACTGGAAATCCATTTATGTAGAATTTTGGTGTCATTGAAACTCTGGCTGCAATTTCTCTAATAACTTCTTTATTGTGTTAGCAGTCTGTTAGTGTGCAGACACAGCTTCCTTTTGGTCACTTCCTTGTGGTTTGGGTTTGTTATTTTTTAGTGGAACACCAGGGCAAAGCGTGAGAAACTGACGGAATTGATGTTTGAACACTACAACATCCCGGCGTTTTTCTTGTGTAAAACTGCTGTTCTGACAGCGTATCCTTTGAAATGTTTCACTGCATGGTTTTATTTTCCTCCCCCCATGAAATTATGGGAAACTTTTTCCAGGCAATTCCAAGGATAACAGCATGCCTAACTTTCTTCAAATTGATTTTTTCCGTAAATATCCAGGGAGGAAGTAAACAAATGCATTTTCTCAACTTTAAGGCATTAGAGCTCATTTTTGAAGTTCTCCCAATCTGACTCTGTCCTTGGGGTCAAAGTCTTTTTTTAAATTATGTTTTTTTTCCATGGTATACTGTGGATAAGAATATTACAGACCTGAAATGGTGGTGTCCACACTACTAAATACGGTAATTAGAGCTTGACGTTTTCATAGCCTTAAGAGGAATATTTGTAATTATTTTAAACTAATAATATGTTTCCAGCTTCAAGTCTAAATGAGTTGGATGTACTTAGAGCTTGCTGCATAGTAGTGGCATGAAGTCTCACTCTTGTGCCTCCAAAGCTTGAGTTAGTTCACAGATGGAAGTTAAATGCTGCTCTCTCTGTGAGATTGTGCACTTTGCAGAAAGATGGTACACTCTGGAAAATGGCAAATCCCTTTGCAGAGGAAAGGTTGGAGTCCTCATTCCTGGTTATGATTTAATTGTATGGCAGCACTTTTTTTCTAAAGTGAAAATTACAATGTTTTCCTTAACCACTTTGACTAGTTTTGCTAACGGGAGATCTACAGGTCTCATCTTGGATAGTGGAGCAACACACACCACTGCTATTCCAGTGCATGATGGATACGTGCTTCAGCAAGGTAAAACTTTCATGGGTAACAGTGCTGCAGTATCAGGTGGTTAGAGTGATTTCTGCTTGTACAGTTTTGTTACTGCTTTTACATCTCTGTGCCCCCTTAAAAAGGAAAAAAGCCCTAATAGTGTTCACTGACAAATAGCTGGGAGAGTCTGTTCATGCTCGGATACTTTCCAGATTAGTTGTTTTGGTTTTTAGTTTGGATCCCCTCTTGCCTTCTAGGTATTGTAAAGTCACCACTTGCAGGAGACTTTATCACTATGCAGTGCCGGGAGCTGTTTCAGGAAATGAATGTAGAGATAATTCCTCCATATATGATTGCTTCAAAGGTGGGAAAATAACTTTATTTACTAAGTGTTGTCTTGGGGAGAGGCTTAAATGTTCATCTGATGACTTTGTGCCCTACAATCTCAGGAGGCAGTCCGTGAGGGGTCGCCAGCAAATTGGAAGAGAAAAGAGAAGTTGCCCCAGGTCACCAGGTCTTGGCACAACTACATGTGTAATGTAAGTAGGTAATTTCTCCTGCTCTCACCTCCCTTGAGTGTTCCATAAATAAGTTTTGTTTGCAAGTGTATCAGTGTTTTCTCTTGAAGAACAAGAAATTCTTTGAACAGTCAGTACCAATTCTATAAATTTTATAAAATTGAAGACTGAAATTCATGTAAATTATTGTTATTTTTAACTCCACAGTGTGTCATTCAAGACTTCCAGGCTTCTGTCCTCCAAGTATCAGATTCAACCTATGATGAACAGTATGTGACATTCTTCTTTCTTGTAAAATCTGTTACCAGTTGTGCATGTGATGCTCAGCCTATTCACTGCTGTTGGATGGTTTTGTTGTAGAAGAAGGTTTTATCTAAAAATGGGTGATCTATGGAAGTAGGAGTGCTACATATACCCAGGTGATAGTTTTTTGTTGAATATTCCAAGATGAGACTTAATAAATATTACTGGAAGTGTAAGTCTTACGAATCCCAATGTTCTCATTGGAACTGCAGTTTGTAACACTGCTTAGATAAGTTGACATCCTGTTTAGAGAGCACTTTAATGTGTTGCTTTCTGCCTGATGCTCCAGGGTGGCAGCACAGATGCCAACAGTTCATTACGAGTTCCCCAATGGCTACAACTGTGACTTCGGTGCTGAGCGTCTGAAAATTCCTGAGGGATTGTTTGACCCTTCCAATGTAAAGGTAAAACCACTGTGAAGCTGTGATTGGAAGGCTCTGCATGACTAGGCTGTCAATGGCTGTCTTTTGTATAACGTTTTTAATCTTGTGATTTGGATGTATTTGCACTGGGGGGTTCTCCTGGGGGTAGAGTTTGCCTGTCTTGAATTACAGCTGGGGAAGGGAAGGATGAAATGTTCAAATTGGGTGGTGATGAGCTGACTGGAAAAACAGGGGTATTTTTGTTCCTTCCCTAACAAAATGCTTAGCTCCCTCTCCAGTAATGCTTGTAAAATCCAGCTCATTCAGGGCTTTTCTGTGCCTTGCTCTCTTGAAGCAGTGATGTGTAGATTCCTGATTTTCCCTGCAGGGTTTATCTGGTAACACGATGTTGGGTGTGAGCCACGTTGTCACAACAAGCGTTGGAATGTGTGATATAGATATCAGGCCGGTAAGTGTTACTCAGCCAGGCAGTATTTTAAGGCATAGATATTTCTGTGCCAATACATGTTTTTGGGACTAGAACAGCAACAGTGAAGAGATTTCTTAGGATAATGATAAATATGTTAGAATAATACTGTAAGTATTATTTATTTGTATATAGGGGTATGTACCATTAATGTTTTCTCTTACAAAATGTTAAATCAGGACCTTTTACTTAGTGTTTCTACCCATATTTAAAAATCTGATGCACAGATTTTGTGGCTGGCACTGCATAATTTGGATTGGACTGGCTTCAGATAAGCATTTACGTTTTTAACTCTGAGTGTTATCTTCAGATTTTTAGGCATCGTTATGTTTAGAACATACATGGAATTTATAAAGAGGAGAAGTCCTAAAGGAAAATATTATTTTTAAAATTAATGTACTGTCTTTCTCAGGGGTCAGTTTGATACAGATTGCATGAGAGTTCTTTCAATGTTTTTTTTCTGTTAACCAGTGTGTGAGAAGGGCTTAGTGGGCTGGGCCGTGGTGTGTGTTCACCAACTGCAGCAACAGTGAGATAGAAAACTGCTGCAAGGCTGTGTAGTTTTCTTTTGAGGTTGCATTCTGCTGTAAAAAACTCAACAATTTGCATACAGGGGAGATCTGCAGGTTGAGGGTTCTCCACAGTAGAAACTCTTCAGTGAAATCATGTAGAACATACGGCCCCTGCCTTCCTTTTGTAGTTTAATATTAAGCTGTCTTGCAAAATTTTTAAGTGATTAAATAATAAATTGAATTGGGAGAGGTAATACTGTTGGTATCAAGTGATGTATTATTGTTGTTGACTATACATACTCATGCCACCCCTCTCTATTGTGAGAAAGAGGTGTTTTCAGAATGATTTCCAAGGTAAAGCTCCAGTTTGTTTTTCTTCTCTTTTTAGGGTCTCTATGGCAGTGTGATTGTAGCAGGAGGAAACACTCTAATACAGAGTTTCACAGACAGATTGAACAGGGAGCTGTCTCAGAAAACCCCACCGGTAAAACAACTCTTTCCATTACTGCATTGAGTACTTCAACATTTTACTTTTCTGCCACATAAGTACACAAGGATACTGTGGCTTTGATATTCTAGGAACCTGACAGCTGAATAGATTTCTGCAGGGTTAAGAAACCTCCCTCTCTAAAGAAAAGAAGGAATTCTTGAAGTGTTTTATACAGAATAAACTCCAGTATTCCTTGAGTATTTCACTACTCCACTCTTGTTTTCAGATTGCTATCCTAAGTTCTGTAATTGTCCCCAAGCAGCAGCCAGTATTCTCTTGATGGTCTCTCTTTTGGAGTGCTGCTGACTAACTCGAGGCACATTCAGTCATTCTGCCTGAGGTCACTTTGTTGTGGCAATTGTTTTTCCTTGATTTTGCAGACAACCTAAATCACCAGGTTTTGTCTATGAGTAGCATATTTACATATTTTTTTAATCACTTGATGTCAAAGAAAGTATTGGTACCTTGCATCTGATTATGGTACAGATTATGATATTTGTTGAATCTTAGTATTCAAGCAAAAATGTTCTGCTTGGGACAACTCTGTAATGATGAATGTTAGGAGAAACTGAGAAATGTATTCACTGCTTATAATAGCTGAGGAGGAGCCCATAGAAATTCCAAGATTTTATTGCTGTAAGGCATTTTGAAAGCAAAAGGAATGAATGGATCCAAGTAAGCCTAGATGCCTTAAGTCTAGCAATGTAAGTCATTGTAGTCCCAGTGCAGTGTTGGAGGTGACACTATACACTGTGATATTATTGCTCTCCACCTGCCTCATTCCTTGCCTTAACCGGTTATTTGCTGTTGGGAGACAAGGTAAAAACCATATTTCCTGTGGTTGTTTGGAATTGTAAATGCAGGGCAGATGAGCAGTATTGCAGATGTACTAAAATGGGCCTTTTTCAGCTGCATATTGGTATAGACACAGGTTCCTTGTGCTGCTTGTCCCTAAAGGTCACCAGCTTACGGCTTGTGTGACGTTTGGTTTTTCTCCGTTTCTGTGCAGAGCATGCGCCTGAAGTTGATAGCTAACAACACCACTGTGGAGCGGAGGTTCAGCTCGTGGATTGGGGGCTCCATTTTGGCTTCTTTGGTTAGTAAACCTGTGCTGTGCTGAACAGCACTGCCACCCAGACATCCCATTCCCCAGAAGTGTGCATTGCAGAGTCTCTGCTACGTAATCATAGTCTTGGCTGTCCTCATGGTAAGGGGAAGAGAATCTGTTTCAAAAAGAGGTGTGAGTGTTTCCCGTGACAGCATATCCTGCCATGTTCTCCCATTTTTAATGGCAAGGTAAAACCTTGAAATACGTGTACTTTCTCTAGACTGTATCTAGTAGACCATGAAAGTAGCAAACCTGTTTCTGCATCATATTCCTGAGGTTAATTCTACAAGTTACTGAGCACTGAAATGCTTTCTGGGGGTTAATTTATCATCATGGGAAAGGGAGACTGCAGTCAGCATTTGGTGCTGCACTTCCTGTCTTGAGTTTAATCCCTAAGCAATAAAACTGAAGGAAGAGACAGTTAAGCAGGTCAAGTCCTAATACTTCATTTAATGTAAGGACATGCTTGTTTTCCCTCCAAGGAAAAGCTAATCATGTTTCAGTTGACCATCATTTGTGTTCTGCTACTTTTTCATTGTGTGTTGCTTTTGTTTCTTTATTTTTGTAGGGTACTTTCCAGCAGATGTGGATTTCCAAACAAGAATATGAAGAAGGAGGGAAACAGTGTGTAGAAAGAAAATGTCCTTAGACCTCTTAACTGTGAAAACTGCTGCCTGCTTGGTGCTCCTCTGTTTTATAGCTTTAGCATACTCAGGAATGGGATGGACTCCTCTTTGTAGGAAGTTTATATTGGGTTTTTTGCATAATTCAAATTCCATTTTAACAAAGTTAGACATTTTGAGAGACCTAATTGGTACTATAATAGAAAAAGGATGTTTACGTCCCTTGTAAAGCAATAATTCCTGTAACAAGCATTTTATAATTTTGTATAAATGTCTATTTTCTCTAGTATCTTTTCCTGGGAACAGCTTTACAGGTTAGCTAATAGATAGAGGCATAACCTTGCAAATGCCTGTGCTTATTTATTAATTATTTCTTGTCTAATTTCTTGTCTACTTTCACATACTAGTCTTCCTTGCTGGTACTTTGGCCTTAAATTGCTCTTATTTTTCTCTTTAAAAATAAAATTTGGTCTTTTATATTTGAGCAAGCTTGTGAGTACTTGCAGAGAAAGTTATTCTGCTGTTTTAAAAGTGAAAGTTTGTATTCAGCAATCTATTTTAGTGTAAACTTTTACTGTCTCACAGAAGTGTTACATTCCGTGGAGTGAATGTTATATTAAGCACTGGTTTGTTAATTTTTTTTTATTATGGAGCAGTTTCATTTCAGTAAGCAAGCAATGCTTTCCACTTGATGTCTAAGAATGTATTTAATGCCTTTGTGATGTTGGTGAGAAGCAAAGCCTGTTCAAGACAGGGAAATTGAGACAAAGAATTGCCTCTCCAAGCCTGGGAGCAGTCAGAAGCTTTCGGTGCGTGGCTTGCCCCTGCTGCAGGGAGCCCTCAGTGCTGTGTCGTGGCTGGTGTGGGCTCCCTGTGCCCCCAGCAGGGTCTGTAAGTGCCTGTGTTTGCAGGGGGAAGGTGCACTCAGGGTCACAGGAATGGGGATGACTTCTTTTTCCAGCAGAAATCAGCTGTCAAGACGCAGCTCAGTGTTGCTTTTAAGCTTAATTTACAATGATGTGATGGTCTGTTTTGGGACACAATGAAGTTTTGCTCCTTATCTCAAAAGCTGTGGAAAACCAAATAGCATTTAACTGATCTAAAAAAATTAAACAGTACTGCTACATTTTTGTATCCTAAAAGATCTTGTGGGTAAATAATTACGAGGCCTCTGTTTGAAAAGTTTCACATTACCTCCAAATAATAAAGTAATTTATCAAACCAATCTGCTTTTGTCTTATCATGAGAATCTGAGTTGCTCTTTAGACAAAGTCGTTTGATCAGATTTTCAAAGCCACTGACAAACCATATTTCTCTTGCAAAAAGAGGCAAACTGCAAAGTCACCAGCTCTTGTCATTGTGGAAGACAAAAGACTCAGTCCAGTTTCCATTCAGGTAGAACATGGAACATAACTGAACTGCTACCTCAGTGCGCTGCAGTGGGTGGTGTTTAAGATTTCCTTCTGTGGCATGCTTAGATTTCATTGTGCCAAATCAGTTTTTATCTTCCATTTATCTTAAAAGAATTGCAGTACAGTATCTGCTAATATTCCAGCAGCACAGGGAGAGCAAAACACTGCTGGAGGTTTTCTCACTGCAAAGATTCTGAGTTTAAACTGGGAATTTTGTGTGATGCAGAGGAGTAAGTGAAGGTCCAAATGATGGAGATAGATACATGAAACAGTACCAGTTCCCTTGCAGTGTTTTACCAGATTATACTGCTGAGCACATTTGCTTCCTTAAAGACTGGTATTTTTGACTTCAGTCTAGATTTCTAGACCACCACATGTGGAAGTTAAAAGTTTTCATGAAGTGAAAGGTGAAGGTGTTTCCTTCAACTGAGAGCAACAGCAGTACCTACTTCAATTTCACTGAAGACTACTGCAGCCTTCTTTCAAACATTTTGCACTGTGCAAAGCATTGTACAATTGTTTGAATTTGTCACAGAAATCAAGGTAGGACAACTGGATTAGAAGTTCCCATGCTGAGTATTTCGTACTTTCTAAGAACTTAAAGCAGTGGACTAAGACTTAAAGCAGTGGAAAGAATTCCTCACAGCAGTCCAATTTACCAGTGCATTTATGCAGAGAGCAAATACACCTTGTGTAGCTTACCTTGGGGAAAATATTCTGGAAAGTAGCAGGAAAAATACGATCAGGGAAAGGCTCATATGTGAGCTTCAGATGCTTTCAGTTTCTGTCTGATTTTAATGTACATGTGTTAAACTAAACCAGGTAAATATTACCCCTACACTTGTTACTGTCAGCTGGCACTCTGTGGCTGCTCTTCACTGCTCCTAATGCATCTCTCAAGAGCTGGCTAACACATTTGTTCCTGGAAACGTGAGAGATTGGATGATTTGAGTTAGGCACCAAAGCCGCTTTTTAATTCCAGATCAAAAGTTTAATTAAAGTCAAATGTGGTATTAAAAACAAACAAACAAAATGCTCTTCACTGTTCCTAATGCATCTCTCACTCTTGTAACAGCTGCCTAACACAGCATTTGTTCCTGCAAACAAGAGATCAGATGATTTGAGTTAGGCACCAAAGGCGCTTTTTAATTCCAGATCAAAAGTTTAATTAAAGTCAAATGTGGTATTAAAAACAAACAAAAAAAAAAAGCTGGAGACTATCTGGAATGCTCAGTGGAGTTGTTTGTGGTTCCAGAACATGGCTAATGTTCCACAGACACTTGACCAGTTGCTTGCAGTGCTCTTGCAGCCTGCTACTGGCTCTGGGATTTCACAGCAACATCAGGGAACTTCCTTTCCAAGAGCTTCCGCTTCGTCCTCTCCAGGCTTTGCTGCCTTGCCCTTTTCCGTAAGGATTTTTCAAGTCTGAGTCTGAAACAGAAGTTGGTGTGGTTCACTTCCAGCCAGCTTGTGACCACTTTAATGAGCCCCCCAATCAGATAGAGGCTCTCAGTGATTAATAACTTCAGTATTCGTTTGCTTCTGATAAGTAAAAAAGCCTGCAGCAATATTTTTACTCTGCTTCCGAATTCTACGGAAGTTCAGCCTCTAGGAGGATTTTTGATATTCTGCACTTGAAGTTACTTTTACAATGCCACAGCATAACCATGTACCTTAGTAACTAAAGTGGGAACAGAAAAAAAAAGAAACAGAGGAAGCTGTAATTAAAAAAAAACCCCTCTGATTTTCAGTCTAGTAGCTGAAAACTGAAATATTACAGCTATTTTTTCCTTTTAAAATGGAATAAGGGCACAAACAGATGCACAAACAGATCAGAATGTCAAAATAATCTTTTTACCTGATGAAGTGATTCACATGAGGTAGGTAAAAGAATCTCTTCTTTTTGTGTTTTTTGTTCAAGTGCCATGGTATTGGCCATTCCTTGTAACTGTACCTGTTGGAGACAGGTAAAAATGATTACAGAATGTACATGTTGTCTTAATTCTAGGATTTTACCAGTTTCTCTCAGTTTCAAGCACAGTGATAAAGTGGTCTGGGAGATGGCAGAATTTCTATGTGGGTATTTATTTCCAGCTCTTGCTGGTTTGGTTTTTAACTATCTCCTGTGTTCTGTACAGTCTGTGCATCCTTCCTTGATTAGGTAAGGATTTTCTGGGAGAGAGACACACCACAAGAAAAACTCACACATTAAAAAAGGTTTTCCATACCAGAAGGTGCGTCCCAGGAAGTCGTGTCTCCACTCACCAGGGACTGGCTTTTCATGGCCTGTTTGTAAAAGCCTTAGAGCAATTTCTCTTTCTCTGACAACCAAGTCTATATTTTTCATAGATGTTTCTACCTGGAAATGGTAAAAAGTTTCAGGATGCACCAACAAAAAACAATGCTGAAAATTTCAAAGATCTCAAAGACTTAAGACAAAATTTAAAGGGAAAACAAAGGTAAAACATGCTGGAGTTTGATCATGAGTTCTCTCTCAGCAGGCCCTGTGTACTAGAACAGTAAGGAATGGGTGCTTCAAAAATCTAATCTGACAGCAGGACAGATATGACATAACTGACAGTCTGATACTTGATTAAAGACCAGCTGGGTGATGCATAAAGCCAGATCCAATGCTGATGCAGAAGTGTAGAAGCTCTGAGGCAGGGGTCAGAAGCAGCAGAAGCAAACAGAAGATTTGCTAATGTTTTGTAGTGGCTGTTGGTTATTTTAGTTTCCACTGGGGTCTGGTCACAGCCCCAGTAATGCCCACTGGACAATGAGAAAGCTGCCTTGACCAAATTATGACTTCAGCCGTTAGTGCATACACTAAAATCAGGGAAAATAATTAAAAAAAAAAAAGGTCTTTAACAAGTTTACAAACACTTGATCTTTCAGCAATTTTACTAAAGAGTTACAGTTTTTGTGTAGCATGAAAAAGGTACCTTTTCTAAGCGCTCTGGACTTGGCATAGGCTTGCGCTGTCGCTTGGATTCTTGCTCTAAAGTTAAGAGCATGTTCTTTTCTTTCAGCAGGACATACCTGGAGCAGAAAGCACAGTAATTCAAAAATAACTTTGGGATAGCTAAGCAGTTATTCACTTTTTATCTGTAATCCCAAACCCTGCTGCCTTCATATAATGAAACAGAAGAGAAGAATGAGGGAGACAGGTTTACTTAGTCTGGAATAAAGAGGGCTTAGGAGGGAAGAGTTTCACACTGAGCTGTCTTCCATTATCTGGACAAAGCCAAGTTTTTCTCTCACGTACACATGAAAAGGACACAACAAAGCAAGGAAAAAGCTGTTCACAGTAATGATTAAGTTCAGCCTGAACTTAATACAGCTTCAGAAACTTCCACAATCAGAATAAATGCAGGCATGATGGAATGAAGTGCCCACCCCGCCAGAAGGCACTGACAACCAAGTCTGTCCAACTCAAGCAACCCCCAGAGGGTTTGCACCAAAGCTGAGCCCTCTGAACTAGACACAGCTGTCCCACAGCCACCTGCAGTGCAGCCTCTGTGCTCTGAGCAGGACCAGGGCTGGTGCAAGCCCAAAGCTGGCTGGAGCCTGCAGAGCTCTGAGCCAGACTGAAGCTGCTGGATCATGAGCTCACCAGCCACATTTTACTGAAAAGTGCAGAGCTGCTCTGAAGGAAGAGAAGCTTCTTCACTAAAATTTACTTACCAAAGTTTGTGCAAGTCTTCACTACTCTTGCCCCTTAGCTGCTTTAGATTCCATGAATCCCCTGTAAAATACAAAAAAACCCACCATTAATTTAATGAAACAAAGTTCTCTTATTCTGGAAAATAAAAAGTGCTTCTATTAGACTCAGCTGACACAACAGTGTAAAGACCACATGTAAAATACTACTGCTTGGACAGCCATCCTTGAGGATATTCAGCTTTGCTTTTAAAATACAACTCAAAAAGGCATTTATATGTGGTGTTTATTTGTGCTTATAACAGGCTGGGAATACAGAAAGCTGTCAGATGATTCTTTACACTGAAGTAGTTTTCTTCCATAGTACTTACATTCATCAAAGCACATCTCTTCTGTGATACACTCTCACTTCAAAGCAAGGCAGAGGATTTACAGCGAAACATTTTGCTGCACAGTTGCTATTTGCTTTCATAAACACTCAATACACACAGCAAAAATTAACAAGCATCAAGATGCACAAGTGGTTGTATGTACATATACACAGAAAAATAAGTTTTAGGTAGCTATGAATGCTCTCTATAATGCAAAAAGAAAAAAAAAAAAAATACACACAGCAAAAATTAACAGGCATCAAGATGCACAAGTGGATGTACGTACATATACATAAAAAATAAGTTTTAGGTAGCTATGAATGCTCTCTATAATGCAAAAAGAAAAAAAAAAAAAGTCATATTTCCGCTCAAAGATCACTATCAGAAATGCTAAATATAACTCACCAGACTTTACACTTTTTTCCCCCCAGTTTCCTGGATCATCAAAAAACTCCTCCAGACCTCGCCGAGACACAGTTGTGTGCAGGAGCTTCACCTCTTGGAGGATCTCAATTTTTGGTAGGTTCTTGTGGTACAGATTCAGTGCCATCCTGCATAAAAGTTAGAAGGAAAACTATGTATGACAGGAAAAATGATATTCTGCTAAATGAGAATGTTTGGTTCATTCACAAAGTCACATTTCCTACAGGCAGATCATGGCATGTGGGGAAAAAGCAGAGTTTTGGTTACTCACAAAGATCTCATCTTGGTGTTTTCCCCTCCCCCCTCATCTCATCTAATTATCAATTTTCTACACTTAGAGACAGAAAACAATTAAAAAT